GAAGATGGGGCAGCCTTTTTTTTTTTTTGGTTGGGGGGGGGCGCTGGGGGGGTCAAATTTATTTGATCTTGATAGAGGGGGGGGGGTTATCTTGTTGGTAACTTTGATATCTCTTTGTCTGTTCCTGCAGAAGCAACAAGATCCCGATTGTCAGAGAGTCATTTTTGGAGGACTGCATTGAGAAGAAAATGCGGATGCGCATGGCTGAATATAGTCTTGCTGATGGAATTAAGGGTCATGAAATTGCGACTGTGAAGGTGAAAGGCAGAGCTGCAGTTCACGAGGACTCAGGCCTTCAGGACGAAGGGCACATTCTCGAGGTTGGAGATGCGCTGTACAATACCACACTGAGCTTGTCCGACATGACCACGGGCATCAATAGGTAATGAATGTCTCGTGTATGCCGTAGCCGCAATGGGTCGACAATGTTGCGACAATCTGCTATGCACTGGTCCCAGACATTTATCCCTCTGCTACTTTTCTGAGTTTTCTCTGTATCTTTCCAAGTTTAATGGATGTATCCGGAAGGACCTAGATTTCATTTTGTATTTTCTAAGCATTAAAAAAAAAAAAGAAAACATTCTTCAGATTTCTTCTTTGTTATCCCTCTCCTGCTTTCTTTCCGGTTGCTACGATGCTGACTGTTTATGCGGGAGTCATCCAGGGAGGCGGCACACAGTGTTGTTGGCCTGTCTGGGAGTCGGTGTTAGGAAAAAAAGCAGAGCCAGGCCCGTCTGGGAGTGAGAGTGTTAGGACAAACGCATAGTCAATCATCGTGAACTTGTATTTTGTTCTTTCAGTCTTGTTAACTAAAGCTTTGAGTGATAAGTTTTCATAGTTTTGCAAGCATGGGAAGTAAGAAGGGATGGGGGGGGGGGCGGCAGCATCAAGAAGATCTTGATTGGATGGATGGTTGCAGTGATGGGTGGGACTTTGCTCATCAGGTTACGTGTATGGTAACTTTGGTTTTTAATTTTTCTTAATGAATCTGTGCTGTTGTGCATGCTTATCTGTCTCTCTGTCATTCTCGTCATGTTTGTTTTTCCTCTCCTCCTCCTCGTCCTCGTCGTCCTCCTCGTCAGCTACTATATTATGCAAGTCATCGAGGCAGATAAAGGCAAGAACTGCTGGGTATTCAGGAAATGGGGCAGGGTAGGGGATGCAAAGAGAGGAAGCCAGAAGATCGAAGGGATGCCAAAGGCTAGGGCTATCGAAGAATTTGAGGCGCTATTTGAAGAGAAAACAGGAAGCAGATGGGCTGCTTGGCGCAACAATTCGGGAGATTTCCAAAAGTTCCCCGGGAAGTTCTATCCAATTGAAATTGTAAGTACCTTTGTTGCCTGCTCTGTCGAATTGAAAATTTTCCAGGTGTCACTATTACCAATGATTCACTTAGCTACTTCATTTTCTGTGCTGATTTATGAAGATGGAGGGGGCATGTACACAGCCATCTGATTTAAGCCCTTAAGTGACTGGCTGATATGGGGTAACACCACCCAATTACCTTGTACCTTATCTCCATTCTTCCCTCGACCATTCCCGTCGTCAGGTGCAAAACCAGCAGGACTACCCCTTTTCTGCAAAGCTGTATTTCCCTGGTTTCAAATTGGGGTAATTATTCCTGATGTGTGTGTGTGTGTGTGTGTGTGTGTGTGTGTGTGTGTGTGTGTGTGTGTGTTCTTGTGCTTGTGTGTGTGTGTGTGTGTGTGTGTGTGTGTGTGTGTGTGTGTGTGTGTGTGTGTGTGTGTGTGTGTGTGTGCGCGTTGTCATGTTCGCGGTACGGGACTCCCTGGTTCGTCGGACTTTCACCGACTCATCCGAAGGTTGAACTCTGACAGTCTGCCCAGGATGCATTTGACTGATGGATAAGGACTCACTACGTCACCCGTAGTTAGTGATACCTGAGTAAGGTGGTGTGCGTGTGCATGTGCATATGTGTATGTGTGCATGTAGCTGGAAAACTACGATGATTGCCTCGACACCTTTGACACTCTTCGTCGTCTCCACTCTTACTGGCACTTTGCACACTGCAACGGGGATAATTCATGTTGTGACGGTAGATATGGCCGACTGCCATTCACAATATCTTGATTTATTCCAATCGTAGACATCCATCGAAATCATCATCATGCAATTTTAGGGGAATTGAAATGAGTAAAACTGCGGAAGAAGCCGGCACAACAATTGTGGAAAGAAACACCCAAAAGTGAGAACGAAACGGGGAGATTACAGACTGTCTTCTCAGACCCTCGCTGACGTACACGGGCTGCAGGACCCCTCGTGATGCTTTGGGTCATAATCTGCTTTACACTTAGAAGCCAATTTGTGAGTTGGATCGGAGAGGACATCACCTCTTCCCACCATACAGAAGTGCTTTTCATTTTGGAAACGGAGAAAAGTGGCTCGTAACGGGGCTAAGCAACGTTTATTAAAAACACAGGACTCTGTGAAGTGGTAAAACAATGTATGGAGTCTGACATTTGCACGGTGCAGCAAGATAAAAAGGAGAAGTAATATAATGTAAGCACGCCACCCTCAATAATATAAGTATGCCGTGACCCCGCTGACGAGATGACAGTGGGTCAGAGGCGGAGGTGGGTTGTTGGGAATTCGATGAGGGCGAAGCTATGGTGGTCCCCCCTGAAGATGACCGTGCGGCGACGGTCGAAACCGGTCGGGGTGGGTGCCGTACCCACTGGCTATTTGCAATCTTTCACACATCTCTTTGTGCGTTCATGCAACTGTGTACTGTGCCTGTACTTGTGTTTGATCAACTTTGATGCACGAGTTTTTCGCACACACCAATTCTGATTACCGGGGAGTCAGAAGACAAATCCATGTTGCCACCCATAAAGACATCTTAAACACACCACATCTCTTATAGCACCTAAGGAACTTGAATCACACATCACATCTGTGCCTTATGCACTTCTCAAAGGGTTCATTGCACAGAGAGTAAACAAGGGAGAGGACAAGTGAGAGAAACAAAAGTACAGTATGCCACTCCTGAACACCGTCTCTCGGGGGGGGGGAAACGTGAACCAAATCATATGCTCCGTGTTTGTGTGTGATGTGTTTTTGTGTGCATTTGTGTGTTTTTGTGTCTATTTGTGTGTATTTGTGTGTGTGTGTGTGTGTGTGTCTGTGTGTGTGTGGCTGATCATGGCTGATTAACTGTACTTCAGGATTATGGAGTTGATGACAAATCAAAATTGCGACGCCATAAAGAAATTGGAGCCAGCAGCAAGCTTGACCCGCGTGTCATCAGTCTCTTGCAGATGCTGTTTGACATTGAAACTTACAAGTACGTGTTCATTTTCATCGTTGCCGCCCTGCCTTGTTTGTCTCTATGGTATATGCTTATACCCATCTGACCTGCTCAAGTTCGCAGAGAATGTGGTGCCTTGGCTTGCGAAAGGCGAAGGAATTGGAAGGAGGCCAAAACTTGATGAAAACCGTCAGGGAAACTTCGAAATACCTGCTGATGAGCTGGTGACCAGCCGGGAGCAGATGAACGACCTACATTTATTTTGAGTCTGGCTACTCAGCCCACGACTGACTGAGGGTACGTTGTAAGGCCAATTTCTGACCCATGGGTACTTTCAAAGGCCAGTTTCGCACCCGTGGGTACTTTTGAAGGCCAGTTTCTGACACCTGGGTACTTTTAGCCAGTTTCTGAACCCTTGGGCCCTTGGTACTTTCCAAGGCCAGTTTCTGACCCCTGGGTACTTTTTTTCTAAGGCCAGTTTCTGGCCCCTTGATACTTTCTAAGGCCAGTCTGTGACCCCTGGGTAATTAATAAGGCCAGTTTCTAACCCGTGGGTATTTTCTAAGGCCAGTATCCGATCCCTGGGTACTCTTTTCTAAGGCCAGTTTCTGGCCCCTGGGTACTTTATAAGGCCAGTTTCTGACACATGAGTACTTTCTTAGGCCAGCTTCTGACTTGTGGATACTTTCAAAGGCCAGTTTCTGACCAGCGAGTGCTTTTAAGGCCATTTTCTGACTTGTGTGCACTTTCGGAGGCCAGTTTCTGACGTGCGGGTTATTTCAAAGAATCGAAGTCCAGTGTTTGCCCCATGGGTACTTTCTGAGGCCAGTTTCTGGCCTGGGTTCCTAAGCCCAGTTTCTGACCGTTGGTACTTTTTGAGCCCAAGGGGCTCACTTTCTGACTGTTGGGTACTTTTTGAGCCCAAGGGGCCCAGTTTCTGACCGCTGGGTACTTTTTGAGCCCAAGGGCCCCAGTTTCTGACCGTTGGGTACTTTTTGGCCCCAAGGGCCCCAGTTTCTGACCGTTGGGTACTTTCCGAGCACAAGGGATGATGGAAGGTAACAATGTCAAGAGAGCCTGCTTTAGCGCTCCTGTCTCACATTCTTGCCACTGTGATTTTATGATGTGGAAGTGTGCGACATGCGGGTGTTTCATTTATGATGTGGTGTGCGCAACATGCACCTGTTTTTTCTTTTTTAATAAAAAAATATTTTTCAAAGGGATCCATTTTGATAATGCCACAGTGCTGGCCGGCCATGGTGTTATCCTCACTCTTTCCTTCCAGACCATCTCACAACCAGCATGTACGCCACCACATTTTGCTCAGCCGTTGGATGGGGTGGGGCGGTGGCAGCTCTGTCTGTTCACGTGTGAATGAAACCTCTGCGCGATTAGCATACGTCCTCGACCGTCGCTTTCTCGCTAAGATGCGCGCTAAGGGGCGTATTACTTGTGCAAAGAAGTGCAGTGGAACTCTGTGGGAAACCACAATTAAAATATTATTAGAGTGTTGTTTCAGTATAAGCTGCCAGCCTGGTGAGTAGTATGGTCTTTGTGTAAAGTGCAATCCAATCTGTCTGGAAGAGAGGTAATGTTGGAGCTGGAGATGAAAAATTCAAAAATTTTCAGAAAAGCTGAGAAAAGTTCAAAACCCCAAAAAAAAAGGAAAAAAAAAAGAAAGACAGACTTGTTATTAGCAGACCTCCGTCGGTACACCTACAGCCTGTTGAAATGCAGACCTCAGCTCGAATCCAAAAAAAAAAATCAAAAATAAAGAAAAACTTGTGATTAGCAGTTCAGCATAGGTACATTGCAGAGTGTTGTCAGTGTTGAGGCACCTCTGCGCATTGAAAAAGCAATGATATTATCTAGTGCAAATGACTTAATAACCATTTTTATCTCTCTAGAATGTCTTGGATTAGGTTCTTATCTATTAACTGGATATATCAAAAGAGATATCCGCTCAAATGAAGCAGGTATGAAATACTTGATTATAGGAGGAACTAGCTCATCAATTTTCGCTTATGGTTTATCTTGGTTGTATGGCTTATCCGGAGGAAATATTGATTTAAAAAGTATTGCATATAGTTTTTCATATCTTAATCCATCTTATAATCTAGTTAGTTGGTTTGCTTATATTTGTATTATTGTTGGAATAGGGTTTAAGCTTTCTTTAGTTCCCTTTCATAGATGGAGTCCCGATGTTTATGAAGGAGTGTGATTGAGTACTTAAAACTCTTGAATGGAAAGAAGATCTGTAATTAGTACTAATTAGTGATTACTACTTAATCATTATTAATTAAAACTCTCAGTGAATAGCATAGGTCCAATCTAGAGTGTTGTCAGTGTGAAACCACCAGTATCTTTCCCCGCTTGAAAAAGAAATACAAAGTTACGGCAGTATACGGCCAGCAACTTTCCGGGAGCAGGGCACGGGACCAAAATGGCTGATGGCGCCAGCCAAAATGAGGCCCGCACCTTAAACCTTTTTTTTTGGGCGCGCGCCGCGCGGGGCATTTTCAGGCTGAGCTTCAATTCAATAACTGCGTGAGGTGCTGGGCCTAAGGTGTCAAGCAGACTCAAGCTGTCAGCTAAATGCTATGTTCCTAATGTACAGTCTCAGGCGGGACCAGAGGTGGAACTTCTTAAGGGACCAGAGGTGGAACTTCTCAAGGGACCAGAGGTGGAACTTCTTAAGGGACCAGAGGTGGAACTTCTCAAGGGACCTGAGGTGGAACTTTTTAAGGGACCATAGTTGGAATTTTAAGGGACCAGGTTTTCACTGTAAACCTGTGTAGAGTGCCAGCTGGTACCCCATGGTGCAATCACTTCACTATGAGGGGAAAGGTACCATGGTACCATTCACTTCACTATGAGGGGAGAGGTGGAAAGATCCCAACTTCTCAAGGGTCAAAGTTTTTAAGTTTTTTCTGTGTATGGAGTACCAGCCACCGTCTTCACCGGAATAGAACGCCTGCCGCCCGGTCATTATTGCTGGATCTGGACTGAAAGTTGTTCCAAATACCCCGCTATAATGAATGGGTGTTCGAGTCGGGTGAAGATGGCAGTACCAATCTCTTCGCCGTGAGGTCAGAGCTGCCTAAGGTCACGAGGGATTAATTTTCTGCCTCTGCAACGTGCGTACACCAGTCATTTTGCATCCACCGCGAATCCACACACTGTTATTGCCTTTTTTGAAGTTCTTTGAAGTTTTTCAAGTTTTTTTACCCCGGCTTTCTTTTTCTTTTTTTTTTTTGAGAAAGAAGAAGGGGTAATGCAAAGAAGAAGAAGAAGAAGAAAAAGAAAAAGAAAAAGAAGGGGGCACCCCCCCCCCCCATTGCTGTACGCACCTGATTCGTCAGAATCCAAATGTTGATGAATCAAATGGTTAGAGCAATGTTAAGGGCTGTCAGAGCCTGACGGTACACATGGCTGATGTTATTGCCTCTTTTGACTGTCCTTTTTTTTTTTTTTTTTTTCCCCAAGAAGTCAAATGTCGATGAACCAAATGGTTAGAGCAATGTTAAGCGCTGTCAAATCCTGACGGTACATGTGGCTTAATAGTCCATCTAATTACTAACAGACAGCTACATGTCAGTACTGTGTACTGTGTAACATACAGCCCCATGAGCTGGCTACTTGTTGTTGGCCCTTTGTTTAACTTGAGTACTTTGCTGTCCTGTTTTTCTTTCCTTCATTTTATTTTTTTTTTATTTTTTTTGGGTTTTCAATGCAGGGCTGCTATGCTGGAATTTGAGATTAATGTTTCAGAGATGCCACTCGGCAAACTCTCAAGACGGCACATTGAGCGAGGTCGGTGTTAAATTACCTCCACCTTTTCCAGCCAACGTCGGGAATCGAAGATGTAACATTTCGGGGTTTTTGGATCAACAGTGTGAACGGGCCGCAATGGCAATGATGAAAATCGAAAATGTCTAGGCTACCAGCCGGGCTGCCCGGGTTACCTTGTTTGCCCGGGTGGCCTGGCCTTGCACCAACCACTGCCCTCAAGGTAGCTGTGACGAAAATCAAAGCAGACTATCACTCACCCACACCAGATGGAAAACTCTACAGACCTAGGCTACGAAAGTCGCCCGGCCAGGCGTCCCGGGCCCGGGCTGCCTGCCCAGACTTGCCCGGGGCACCTGGGCGACTTATTTTCGGCTTTTTTCTTTTTTCTTTTTTTTTTGAGGCTGCAATCAGACTCGAATTATTCACACTTTTCATGCACGTGAACAGCAGAACAACAACTGGCGACATGCGCCCACACAGAACTCAGAGATATGGCTTCCAAGTAACAGTTCGCTTCCACTGGCTATGGCGACTGTGCGCCTCAAACAACTCACTGTCCACACTCGGGATCACCCTGGATGTCCCACGCACATCACTCTGCACACTCACACAGTACACACACACTGCACTCTACACTACGCTATGGCAGCTATGGCTGCCACTACCTATCGCTATGGCTACACTGCTTCACTCTCGCCCACTTCGTCTTCGGGCCTCCAGCAGACCTCCTTGCACAAGACGCTGAGGCAGCGCTTCCGCATGGCTTCCGCATGAATGAATGAATGGCTGGGSGCAGCCTCTTRMTTTATACTTCTGTGAKGCGTTKGTCTGCCCTGTAWCCCYYGGCCCAYGGKGYRCACAGTCCCAGACGGTACTTGCTTGACTGGACCGGACTGGGTGGACTGGGACTGCTGACTGTACGWGGTGGACTGCCACCACTTGACCACTTGYCTCTKCCTAACGTAGGCTGACTCCGAAAGGCCACTTCTAGAACTCTCTGTTTTGGCCTTTCGGTACTGTAGCAGCTACGACTTTGCCCTTTCAGGTAAGTAGCAGCTGCGACCTTGACCCTTCGGACAGTCTACAGCTACGACCTCTAGACTGTCTAGACTCCTACCCGACAGGTTTACAGTTCGAATCGCTTCTACCCTGTAACCTACGAAATCCTACCTACCACTGGCGGTCCTACAGGTCGCAGGCTCAAATCTACGGGTTGACACCGGTACTGTACACAGGTAAGATGGGGAACTAGGGATCGAGCCCTGGGATCTGCATTAGCTACTGCAAATTCGTGAATACCGTTTCAAGGCAGTGCATTTTTGCACTTTGCCTAAAGTGTCCAAATCCGCTGTGTTTTTTGCTTTTGAGGAACGAGCTTTGTTGGGTTGGGGGAGGTGGGGAGGGAGGGGGAAAGGGTGTGGGGGGTGTGGGGGGGTGTGGGGGTGTACTGCGGTTGCTGATACCAGTCCAAGCAACCGGTTGTGGTATCCGCAATCAGTGCCATCACATCCTCCTTTCCCCCTCCTCCTTTTTCCCTTCTCCTCTTCATTTACATTCGACCTGTCTCGCCACGCAGACATCCCCGTACCCCTCCCAACTCTTTCATCGAACACCATCTCCCTCCTAAGTTCCTAACCAATCACCCCGTCGCCACGTGGCCCGGTCTCGCCACGGTGGCAAAACTGACGACGATGATGCTAACGCGAACCAAGGACGATGACGCGATGAACTCACCTTCAGCAATGGTCAACACGATGATGACACACAGGGGCAACAATTATGGACAGCACGGTGAGGGACAGCACAGCCACGATGAGGACATGCGGGGGCAACAACGATTGACTGCACGACAATGATGACGAACGCGGGAGGGCGCGCGGGAGGGTGGCTACACGAGGCGGGCGGGATGCTGCATCAGTGCGACGTTCGAATTCGAACCGCGGGCGCGAAATATTTTTCAAACCCTGATTGAGCCCGGGTGGTTGATCGTCTTGGATCAACGGCACAGATTACAATAGAAAAGAAAAAAAAGGCCCTGCTGGGCCCCGATTTTTCCCCCGGTGACTCCCAGCAGGGAGTGCCCGTCTCTGTGGCCCAGGGGCGAAAAAACCCTGAAAGGACCCTGTGCGCGATTTTGCGCTGGGTGGCGCAGGCCCCAGGGGTTGGACCGGGCAGGTCCCGGGCGAGGTAGGGGGTACCCGGGCCGCCCGGATCGTAGCCTAGCTACAAACTGTATACTAAATATACCCCTCGTTTCTTGTCCTCTTCTCCCTCTCTGCCTACGGTTTACCGGGCAGTTCTGTTTGACGATATATATTTAGATATATTTTTACTAATATTTTAGACTCTCTCTCGCCCACACCAGCAAAAAAGAGGGGGGGAAATAAAAAAAAGCCAAAAAGAAGCTATGTTATGCAGAAAAATAAACTGGATAGCTTTTTTTTTTTTTTTTTTTTTTAATATTGTTACGATCCTGGTCATTAATAATAATAACAATGAATGGATGAGCCAGAATCAACGTCCGAAGTTCCCCCCTTACTGCTGACTCAACTCACAACCCAACAACAACAACAACAAGTCCACCATGGCTATGTCTTCCTTCCTTCAACCTCCTCTCTCAAGCATAGGTTATGGCAGACTACTGGAAGGCAGCTATGATGCTGCCCTGATGCCCAAAAGACAACCCAAAGCAGGTATGTCGCTGCTTGACTCGTTCCGCTATGCCTGACCCTGCCTCTAGCTGCCCTGGTGCAGCATTACCCCAACTGGGGCCTTCCAGATGCAGCGCCCAACAAGGTGATGAAGACGGTGTCCACCATAGCCAGGTAAGTGCCCTACCACTCTCCTACCATGTCCCCCTTC